GTTTACTAGAATGAATGAAAATGAGATATGGGTTTGTGGTAATTTGGTAATGACTCCCTAAGCTGGTGTAGGTGAACGGATGCGCGGCGATCCGAAACAAAAATATTTGATCTAGATGTGTTTCGCAGAGGGCCGCTGAGGGCTGCATGCTGAGTTAAAACACAGGACCACAAAAGCACAAGCAGCTGTTTAGGTTGTTAACTCTGAGGTTAACGACACGCACAAAAAAAAAGAAAAAGCCACTGGAGTCTTCCCAGAGTCTTCAAGCTGGGCTGCCTTTTAACTCAGCAGTGTCTGTCAGTGGATGGCAACGGTATGTGGCAGCGGATGATGGGTGTCTCTACCGGTGAATAAACATTAACCGGCAGCCTGACCGTTTGACTGGAGATAAACCTGGACCCGTCAGTCTTGGTGTGTTTGTGTGTGTGTGTGCGCGCGCACATGTGCGTCAAACGTCAGCTCATGTCTGCGTGCCGAGGAATGGCTGTCCTTATCTGCTCCCCTCTCCTCTCGCACATCATTAACCGGGACTGCGGCACTCTGTACTTTGGCAGCCACACTGTTTGGAGCACCTACTTCCACAGTCCCAAAAAAAAAAAAGTCTGTTCAGAGGCTGGACCACAGAAGGGTACACTTACACACACTCACACATGTGCACATACGTACAGAAATAAACTGCAAATATAAGCACAAATAAGCACTCACACATATGAGCACCTACACGTTCACGCAGCGAGCCTCTGCGTGCACACACACATCCAGCAGCAGTAAATCCTGTTTCGGTGCCGCTGCCCTGGGCTGTGTGATAGCTGGTCTGCAGTGTCCACGCTGGCTGAACACCTTGACTGTGGAATAATTTGCGCAGCATTTTTATTCACAGCACAACTGGCGAGAGGATGGAGGGGGGTGAACGCTAAAAAAGCTACCTCCGCCTCACCCCCTCGTTCCCACCGCCATCACCCTCGCAGGTTAAAGCCAAGTCACAGGAACATTTTCTCTTCTAGCCGCCGCTCTCACTCTCTCTGCTCCCCGGCTGGTGAGTGTGGGCATGGAGATGGCACACAGATTAGTCACACGCTGGCGACACCGCTAACTGTGCACTCCACTGACTCATCCACAGATGGCAGCCAATTGGCATCTGATAATACTGTAGCTCTGTGTTCAGCTGTAGCTCTCCATCCAACTTATATATAGGGCATCCTACCTATGTAGGCCAGCCAATCAGTGCCAGCCTACGCCCACCTTGCCCAGGCAGCGAGCATGAAATTGTTTGATGCTTACACTGTGGCTCCAAAAGCTAGAATAAACAAATATCAACCTGCCTGCTGTCTTAAAAACAATCGCCCTGAAAGCTCATCAGACACAGTAAAGATCAGTGCCAACTGGAGCACTGAAAGGGTTTTGCAAGAGCTCGGGCTTGTCTCTCTGCAGGCGCGTCGTTCTGTCTGTGTGTGTCATTTTTGAAGCTTGCAACAGTAACCTAGTGTTCTACCTCTAAGCCAATAAGGCTTCTCAGATACCAAACGGGTCTGGACATGTCCAAACACACTAATGGAAGACACGCCCTGATAAAACACACACACACAGAGAAGTTGTAATGGTAAAGCTCATATCAGGCCAGCAGAGATAGGAGTATTCCTGGAAACATACATACTCACGCATACACACCTTGACATCAGCAGTCCAGGTCAAGGTATTTCCTTACGGGGAAGGAAAAGAAAAAAAGAAAAAAAATGGGAGCAGTGGATGATATGGGTGATGAGAAGATGGAGCAATAATGGTGCTCTATGTAACTCTATACATTGTGCACTTGTAGGAAAAGTCTAACAAAATACAACTGCTTTGTGAACTGAATCGGGGTTCAAGGAAATCCTCCATCAAAAATAGTAAGGCAAACATCAGAGGTGCGAAGGGAGAGGAACACATTATTTCACACACTGTGTCTGATACCTGAGCTATCTGGAGAGTTTCCTGGCCCAGCACGGAGCCCCGACTAACACACACGCGCGCGCACACGTGCACAGAAATGCACGCATACACACACACACACACACACACACACAAACACACACCTTTGTTTTGTAGTTTGTTTTTTTCCAACACTTGCACACAAACTGCAGGCCGAGCGGTGTTCGGGCCTGCGTCTGCCTGCTCCTGCCTTAGTGTGCTAGGGTGGTGTGTTTAATTGGGTGTAGAGCAGACTTTGGGGAACTAAGATAAGTTATATCCCGTCCCCACAAAGGGACAGCGAACGACGAAGTTTGAGTTCCATCTGTTGGTGCCTCCCCCCCCGCAACCCCACCCTCCTCGCGGTCAGAACACAGCTGGGAGAACGGTACGGGAGGTGGGAGGTGAGGCAAAGTGGGGGGGAGGAGGAGGAGGGAAGAAGGTGGGGATTGTCAGGCAAGCCAAACAAACAGAATAAACCTCTGTCTCTCATCCGTCAGCTCCTAACCCCGCTGGTTACTGGTCAGTGCACGGTTCTCCAGATTTGTGCAGCAGGTGCTAGAAATAACACGGGCTTGAAGAAACAAGTTCCCCGAAAATGCAAAAGGAAAGTGTCCTTCCCACGAACATAAGTCAAGCGCTCCTCTCTTTTTTTTTTCCTTCTCTCTCTCTCTTTCTATCTCCTGACCGCGACGCCGGCTGCGCAAAAGCGCGTCAGACTTTGTAGTAGATGTTGGCGGGGCTCTGCGGCGGCATCTCCTGGACGATGTAGACCGGGTGGCCATAGTCGCCGCTCACCTTCTCATAGTGAGGGCAGTAGTTGTTCTCTGTCCGCAGCGGAATGATGATGTCGCTGGGCTCCGTCCCAGCCGTGCCCCCCGGCAGCTTGGGGTTGGACAGGGTGCTGAGGGACAGCGCGGAGGGGCGGGGCTGCGAGTGGGCGTTTTTCCTGGCCCGCTTGCGCATCTTAATGAGGAGGATAACGAGGAGGAGGATGAGCAGGAGGAAGATGATGCAGCCGACCCCGATGACGGAGAACAGGGCCGCTTTGGACCTGAGGATGCCCTCTGAATCTGAAGACCCGGACTGGTCCTGATTCATGTGGTCTGGAAAACACACATAAAAAGAGAAAAAGGGGGTTTAGGGACTGTATAAAAAATTATTACAGTGGAAAGAAGGTCAGGAAAATCGAGAATATCGTAATTTATACTTTTTTCCGTCTGACTTCTTGCAGAAAAAAACGACAAGTCTTTTTATCTTTTTTGGGGGGGCCCATATTTCTGCTATTTCACATTTTGCATTTGTGAGATTTATTATTCAAAAAGATCAAATGCATACATGAGAAACCTGCTTGTCATGCACTCTGCAGAGTTGCATTTGGCCATGTGTAAAGAATATGTGGTGGTGGTTGTGTGCTTTCCATTCGGGGAGGAGGTGCAAAGCTATCGCCTCTTGTTGCTTCACTCATTTGGTGGCTGGAATCGGCCTAATCTCACTATATTCAGAAGTACAGAGTAGGGGGGCTGGGGGTAACAGTGTGCAATGAACATATTAATAAAAGCATCAAGCTTATTCCGTTTTCCTTTTTTTTTGGTGGTGAATAAGGCTGAGCACCCACCGCCACCACCACCACTGTAATTTTCATATAGTCCCTTAGAGACTGCAGACCATTTACAGTAAGCCCGTCCTGTCGTGTGCACATCTTGCAGTCTGAATCGACTGCGAGCACGTCTCAGTTTGTTGTTTGCTCAACATGACTAACAGCCCCATTGATGTAATCTAATTGAATCAGCTCAATCAAGAATAGGCCTCTAATGAAATCTGTAGTCATCACTCAACATAACAAAGATTCCGGCCATGATAGGATTTGTGCCTGGGCAAGTCGTACGACATGTCAAGGTTTATATGGCAAAGGCCAAATGAGATATGGAAAAAAATGAGGAAGGCATATCTGAGCATCTGATTTTATTTGATCCCTTTGTTTAAGGGGTTCAGGGTGGAGGGGGAGGCAAGGTTGGTTGTTACTGGTTGGAAAAGAGAATGACTGGCTCCTCCAGTGACTGAAATATGAGAAGAACCAAATCTGTTTTCCATGTATGCATGCAGCTGCTGCCAAAGAGCAGCACTCGCCCCTCTCCCAGCACCACCTTTTTACTGTCCGTGACCCCCGCACAGGCACACAAAAGTCTCATAACTCCAGAGACTGCCATCCCCGCTTAATGACTGTGTCTCCGCAATCATCTGGCCACTCCTGGACTTAACCATTTAACGAAGGAGGGGCTGGCTCTGCTTTTGTTTTCAAACTTTTTTTCATGCCTTATCGCAACCAAATGGCATCAAGGAAAGCTACCAGTTCTGGCCTTATCAGCGAAATCAGAAACTGGAGGAATTTTCTACACTCTGGTTGCTGGAGAAAGCTGGAAAAAGAGGCTGTCAGAAATGTCATTCCTGAAATATCTGCCCCTCAAACCGCATTGCCTCGTCCTTCATTCCGCCCTCCACTTCTTCACTTGACATAATCACTGATCTAACAATGGCAGACAGGCAAAAGCCCAGGTATGAGGAAAAGTGACATTAGGAAATCTTTTTATAGAGCAACTAGTGTCAAATAAGCAATTATTAAATGAGGACAGCTTATCACATTGGGACAGGCAGAACAGTCTGTACTTGGAGGAAGTTTGTAGCATCGAAAGTTGTGGAGTAAGTCAAAAAAGTTCGCACGGGGAGTGATCAAAAAAAGAAAAAGAAAGCAGTCCCTCCTGTGGGAAGCAGCTATGAAAGGTGCTGGTAAAAACAGGAAACAAGGAGGGCCCAGAGCATCCGAGGAGGCTCATGTGACTTCTTCAATTATCGCTGCCTCTAATCTTCATTTATCTGCAATTCTAATGAGGTTTAAAAAGATATATAATAAAAAAAAGTGTGTCTTTGAGTCTCCTTGGGTGCAGTACACCCTGTGTGTACAGCATGAATAAGTAAAGTGAGCTGTATTTGTTTTACGGTGGCGTTTCATGTTGTTGGACTGCACCTGTACTTTTGGGGAGTTTTATTACCTGTGATTTTACAAGTATGTTAGCATGCTGACCCCCAAAATCAAAGGACTGCTGGAGGGGTGAAAAATCCATATGAGAGAATTCAGACTTCATTTTTTACTTTCTCTTTTGAGGCTAAATGTGACTAATTATGAAGAAGCCTGGAGGCTGTGAATATTCTCTCCCTCTCTAATTTTTTTTTTCTTTTACATTTCACAAACCTTTATTTTACTAAAATATTTGCACTCGAGAAACTAGAAAGCATTTTTAATGAAGTGTTAAGCTGCAGTTTATGGTAATAATATCAGTCAGTCTGCTCACCAGTGTTTCCTGGTATCTCTGCTCCCGGCCGATCCTGGTCAGGCAGACTGGGACTGGACTCGGGTATGGTGTTGTCTGGAACCTCCGGCACGGCAGGGTTTGCATTTGGAACTGTAGGAAATAAAACGCACACAGAAAAACTTAGCCTTGACGAGCTGCATATGCTGAATTACAATGACTTGTTCTCTGCGACGCCACGGATTACTTTTATTATCTTTTGATATATCTTTTGTGTTGGGAGAAGGTTATCTTTGCGTGTGTTGAAAGCGTTTCACAGGCAAAGATGAAAGCACAAAAAGAGGAAGGACAAGTTAGCGAGCGTCTGTGAAACACGCCAACATCCCTGTCCTGCTGTAAAAAACCCAAAAAAAACGAGCTCACATCTACATCAGCAGCTCCTTCAGCAAACACTCAGACAGCCATTTCCAACACTGACACATTCATGAGACACACACACACACACACCGCCATGCGCACACACCAATGCACACACCTACAATATACTTACAATACACTTAGGCATGGCAGAATGAGGGTAAAGTAGTTATATATTAACTTTTTATTGTTTTACATTATTCATCACGTTAAAAGGCCATAATATGCCTTATTTATTGCTTCGGCTTTAACTCTGCCAGAAAGAGGCAGACTTCTGAGGAGAAGAGAATAGAAGGACAGGAAAGAAAATGGGGGAGACAAGGAGAGGAAGGGATTGCATAAGCTTTGAGGTGAGGCGCAAAGGAAAGAGACAGTTTATCTCTCTGTCTGTTGTGATCTCAGCCAACACACTTTGAAGTCTTTGTGCAGTAAACACTGGTGGGTCCACAGCGTGGTTTTTACAAGGGCAGGGTCGGCAGACAGAAGACAGTTATAAGCTATTACCGTAGCCAGCCAGATGGATGCCACAGTACACTATCAGATGCTTCTTCTCTATCAGGCCTTATCTGCATCTACCCAAAGGGCTGTTCAAGGGGCGTGTGTGCGAAATAGAGAGGAGGGCGTGTGAGGAGGCAATTTACATTCGAGTCCCCCATGGCAAGTTTGTGTGTGTGTGTGTGTGTGTGTGTGTGTGTGTGTGTGTGTGTGTGTGTGTGTGTGTGTGTGTGTGTGTGTGTGAGAGTGAGTGAAAAGAGCCTTTCAGTCTAGGAGTGTACTTCCTATTTCCACCCCAGCTTGGCCAAATCAAACTAGAGAATGATCAGCGTGGGGAGTGCAGGGGGAGGTGGTGGTTTTGGGGGCGTCTGGCAGATATGATAGAAGAAAAAGGAAAACAAAGAAGGAAAGAAATATGAGAGCGTTAATTCGTTTTCTTCTTCTTCTGTTTTTTGGAGCATAAACCGCACTGTTCCCCCATGTTCTCCATGTCCACACCAGCCCATCGCTGCTTACTGATTGCAGCGGTGGTGAACCTTAGGCGTGAGCTGTTGTGCGCTGTCAATAATTGATGAGGAGAGACAGGAGTGAGAAGTGGGAACATTCACGCATGGCAGAGGATATGAGAGGACACAGTGATCTGATTCACTCCATGAATATAGCCACAACACTGTGTCAACCACTGAGCATGTGCAGGGAATGTTCTAACGTTCTGACCCATTTTTCGAGCGTGTACTGCTGACATTTCCCTTAGCTATGCAGACAGCAACTACCTCAGAACTGCCAACCCACCAGAAGGAGGAGGAAGGTGGGGGACGAGGAGGAGAACGCGAGTGAGTGAGGGAGACAATGATGGAGCGATAGAAGGGAAAGACAGATTTTGCTGGGGAGAGAAGAAGAGAGGGAGAGAAAACATGAGGGGGAGATGCGATCGAGGCGGTGAGTCAACACATTTCTAATGAGCACATGAGTGACACGAGTGTAGCGGAGGGGATAAGAGCGTGCTGAACAGCAGCGTACGTATAAAAAATAGGCTTCCTGCTTCCCCTCGAACGCCCCCCCTCCAATCGGCTTCTCTTCTTTTTGAAGACAAAGGAAAGAATGCGAGGCATTTAAAAAACAATTAAATATCAATGTGTCAGAGACGGATGACTCGACGTGACTCTGCCCAGACGTGTTGTCACAGTGAAATGGAAATGCAATGCAAATGTAGCATTAGAAGAATGTGCACATATCTCACAGTGGAGTGAGTCACCAGAATACAATCGTGGTGAAAGTGCAAAAGGAGTACAAGGGGACATATGGGAAGATCTTGGGGATCTGGCAAGAGGAGGAGCTGGCATTCGAGCTACAGATACGCAGGGAATGTGAAGCAAACAGTCAAACACGGCAGCATCTGGGGTCAGAAGCAAGCGGAGCCCAGGTTTTAGCGTTTGCTAAAGCAAAGCCTTATGTGACTGCAGAAGATACGAGTATAGGAGTGTAAATAAGGCCTGCTTTCTGTAATGATTAGTCCACTGAAGATTTTAAAGCTGAGTCATTTAAATGTCAAGATACTGCAGAAATTACATTTAACCATGGAGTAGATCAATCTCTGAGCCAAATGTATTCAATTTGTGTATTAATTTAAAAACTGATTTCTTTAGTAATTTAATTCCAAGTCCATGAATTTATGTTAAAGCCTGTCGATATGGATAAAGTGGTGTGTTATTAGCTGAATATACTCCAGTATTCAGCACTAATAATTGTTCGCTGGATTACAGATGGTGAAGGTAATATCTTAAAGTTAACACTGCAGAGTATGCACATTATTTATTTTTATATATATACATACATATACACTAGGGCTGAACGATATATCGCATTTGCGATAATATCGCGACATGATCAAGTGCAATTTTCTAACCGCAAAGGCTGCGATTATACTCTGGACATGTCCAAATTAATGGGCTGCATCCTCCTGAGGCCGCATTTGTAGACCGATTACGTCACAGCGACGCGCCGAAGGCTG